GTTTGTACTTACTTAGTTACAATCTGTATGTTGTACTTACCTAGTTACTATCTGTATGTTGTACTTACTTGGTTACTATCTGTATGGTGTACTTACTTAGTTACTATCTGTATGGTGTACTTACTTGGTTACTATCTGTATGGTGTAGGTACTTGGTTACTATCTGTATGGTGTACTTACTTAGTTACTATCTGTATGTTGCACTTACTTGGTTACTATCTTTATGGTGTACTTACTTGGTTACAATCTGTATGTTGTACTTACTTGGTTACAATCTGTATTGTGTACTTACTTAGTTACTATCTGTATGGTGTACTTACTTGGTTACTATCTGTATGGTATACTTACTTGGTTACAATCTGTATGGTGTACTTAATTGGTTACTATCTGTATGGTATACTTACTTGGTTACTATCTGTATGGTGTACTTACTTAGTTACTATCCGTATGTTGTACTTACTTGGTTACAATCTGTATGGTGTACTTACTTGGTTACTATCTGTATGGTATATTTACTTGGTTACTATCTGTATGGTGTACTTACTTAGTTACTATCCGTATGTTGTACTTACTTGGTTACAATCTGTATGGTGTACTTACTTGGTTACTATCTGTATGGTGTACTTATATATAATTACTTGGTTACCATCTGGTTGTTGTACTTACTTAGTGACGATCTGTATATGGTAGCTACGAAGATCTACCAATGATTTGATACAATCCTGGTAGACGCCTCTTAATTCTTCATTGGAACTCGTACGCACTAAAACACATGATGCGTTGGATTTGGAAAATTAGATTTGATGAAAACAAACTTGTGTACATTTCAATAGACGCCTTTAACACAATTATGGATCATTATTATAAATTATAATTCTCCTGCAGATTAAAACACCTACAGGTAATTGCACAAAAAATAACAGATCGGATGCCATTGCCAGTATGTATAGTTTATGTTAGTTACTTGTATGACAATGCAAAAGATACCGGACTCATATGTGGCAGTATATTACAGTTGTGTGACCGCACGACGCACCACTTTAACGTCCATGTATGTGGAAACGTTTAGGTAAGGTACACTTCATTTGTTTACACTTGTAGAACGGGAAAGCGTTGCCAGTACATAGTTGGATAAACAATCAAGGAATGGCGACAGGCCGGAGTTTATGTTTTCAATGGTTTTTTTTTTAATCTTTATTACATGCCTACGAATTCGAAGCTGTCGATTTGCAGGCTATTGGTGAATGCGAATCATCTGATAACTGCGTTATTTGATAAAAGTTTTACTCAGTTACTGAAAATACCGAACAACAAGGCACAGTGGAACACCTGCCCGACTACGTAGGTTTTCTCCGGGTACTCCGGTTTCCTCACACATTAAGACCCCCTGCGCGCTAAAATCCGGGCCAACAAGAGTGATTAAAATAAGTTGAAATAATTTGTTTCATAATTGTTGTAATTGTTTTAATTTTTATATTTTTTTTTTATATTGCAGAACAACAGAATGGTCAAAGTCGGTGTTGACCACGCGAAAAGGCATCATGTAAATGCATGTACTAGATTACAAAGCTGTACACGTGTGTATAACTGTATAAAAAAATAAGTAATTCCTCTGTATCTCTAGACGTATAACAGGGACAGGCACGCGTTCTGTTGTTCAACAAGGCCCTAATTCTGACCAATGAAAAACGTCGTTACATCATACAATGTACACGTTGCAAGGTATACAACTCACCATAGGTGGCGATCCTTGACCTGGTCTGGATGTCGTCCAAAAACTGTCGGTGGGAGCGAGGCATATATGGCTTCATTTTGTCAAAGAACGCCTGGATGTCTACAACAACAAACAGACCTAAAGTTATCTTTATTATTCTTTATGTGAGGTTTAGTATTTATATCTTAGGAAAGAAAATAATATCGCAAATTAACCAATTAGCTATCTACTTTTCTGCAATGCAAGTAAAGACCTGCGTTCCATAGATACATTATTTTCTCCCCCCACCCCAACATACACATGCGGAGGAGTAGGCTCTGCTTACCCGGAGCGTGTGTTATCCCCAGGGCGGCGTCCAGACTTTGTACCGTAGAACTCTGGGCAGCACTGCCGCCGGTCATCTATCAAAGATGTAGCTGTTAGTCCAGGGTACGATACAGTACGCAAGCACAAATTACGAATCAGTAACATTAAAAAAAACACCTCTGATTTAATTACATTTTGTATGTGTATTATTTTCAATATATTATGTTTTAATAAGAAGAATTCAAAACGATATTCTATTATAATAAATATTATGTTCGGTTTAAATAAATACGATTTGGAAATATTTATACTTCATAAAATGTCATCACCCTAACGTGAATTTTGTATAGATGTATACCAGTATCTTTCTGCACAGACAATTCTCGTGGACTGTTACTCTATCAGCTCACCTGTAATGGTTCATCATTTACTCCTTCATACACGAGCCCCTCCGGCAAAGGGGAACCCTCTCCTCCCCACCTAAAATATCACAACAGACTGAAAATTCGAATCAATGGTTAACAAGATCCGCACCTCCATCCACCTCGCCTCGACCACTGAAAATGTTCATACATGTACGTGTATCTCAGCCAATCAGAGGCCATAGCGGCCACCTTAAATCCAAATCTTTAATAGTCTGCCATTTAATTTAAATACCCCTATCTATCACTCCAACTAAGTCTAAGTAAAGTCGGCCCTATAGAACTCAAGTTATAACCGTTATTGTCTCAGGCAATCACAAGGCAAAAGTGGATACATAATATAAGGAAGATTAAATGTCGGCCAGTAAATACAAATTATATCCCCTATGTATCACTCTCAAAAAGTACCAGCACTGTCGGTCCCATAGAACTTAAGATCTTATCGTCATTGCCATTCCGTCTTTGCGTATTGCAGAGTTATCTTCTCTTGTAAACAGGTATTGATTGTTACGTCATTGGTTTGTGTGAGAAAATTATGTCGTTTTCTCAAAACTTGATGACGTTACTCTCACAAACAAATGACGTAACAATCAATGCCTCCTCACAAGAGAAGATACCTCTGCAATACGCAAAGACGGAATAGCCAATCAGAGGATATGGCGGTCATCTTGAATCCCAAAAATAAAAAGTTTATCGGTCAAAGGGAAGTTACTCTTGTACAAAACCCACGAAGTATGAATATCAACTACGCAACTACTTGATGTATCACATCATGCATATGGGGTTCAGTTTCTTTATTCCTAGAGCCAGCCGGCTCATAGGTTAATTGACAAACAATTACATCATGTGATACATGCACAAGAGATTATTATACAAAGTAAAATTGATTAAGTGGAGAATAAGCTTACAAAGAACATAAGTATAGTTTTCCATATCAGACATTGAATTCTCTACGTTTTCTCGCAGCACAATATAAATACTTTCCTAAATTACAAAATTCTTTTACATTATCAGTACTCAATAATTTCGTTAACTTAAAAACATTAGGACTTCTGTGATAGAATCGCTTGACATATTTACATCTCAGGACTTGATATAATGGACATTTTAGGATGAAGTGAAATTCATATTCTATATCACCAGAAGCACAGCGAGTACATGATCTATTCTGCCGAACAACACTGTTCCGTCTACCCACTTTACTTACGACAATCTAAAACATGTAATAAGGCGTTTGTACTTTGGTTCAATATATTTACATAAGTAAAATTGAAGACAACGATGATCAACAAATGAAGGGAGAGTTGTCCGGACAAAATTTTATCCGCGGACAGACAGACAGACAGACGGACGGACGGATGGGCGGAAGGACGGACGAGCTGATTCCTTAATTCTAGTATACACCACTAAACTTCATTGCGGGGGATAATGAGGTACATGTAATATGAGCACGTGCTGTAGATATTTTGTAGTGTTAAATTACTGATTGAAGGAACGATGTGTGCGCTATACTCCCTGTAGTACACTGCTACTTACTCTTTAATGAACGAGAATATGGTGGTCACTCACCCTGTAAGAAAAGGTCTCATCACATTATAGAATGTGTCTGCACTCAGCCCATCTGTAAGACACATACCAGATATTTTACTGCAAGTTCTATTTGACCATTAGTCGCAACGGAATGAAAACATACAAAATGTTTTTCACTGGGTAAAGTCGTTTTTTCTGCAAATTGAAGATTTAGAAGAGATTTCTTGTACTTTCGTGTTGACAAGGTTTTGCATACAAAGGCATATTCAAATGGGTTTTTTTTCTATATTGTATCTAATGATAAGTGGAATTTTGGACAATGGACAAGCGATGAAAGGATTTGACAATTGATTTTGTAATATAAATTCACCACAGTCACTTACCATGCATTCTGGACAGCGCTGCCTGTATGTTGTTCACGGTAGCCGCAATGCTCTTAAGGCACTTTGCTAGAGTCTGGGCATCTCCGACGTCAGCAGCCTCCACCGCACACATCAAAGGCTGATAAATATCAGGTCAAAATAACTACATAGGCGGGTAAAGACCTGTGGCAGACTAGTGCCATATTTTACCCCGTGTGAGATTTCCCACACATGTGACAGACTTGTGCCCTATTTAACCCCGTGGGAGATTTCCCACACCTGTGACAGAATAGTGCTCTATTTTACCTGGTGTGATATTTCCCAAACCTGTGACAGACAAGGACTCTATTTTAACCCGTGTGCGATTTCCCACACATGTGACAGACTAGTGCTCTATTTTACCACGTGTGATATTGCCCATACCTGTGACAGACTAGTGCCCTATTATATCCCGTGTGAGATTTCCCACACCTGTGACAGACTAGTGCCCTATTTTACCCCGTGTGAGATTGCCCACACCTGTGACAGACTAGTGCCCTATTTTACCCCGTGTGCGATTTCCCACACCTGTGACAGACTAGTGCCCTATTTTACCCCGTGTGCGATTTCCCACAAATATGACAGACTAGTGCCCTATTTTACCCCACGTAATATTTCCCACACCTGTGACAGATTAGTGCCCTATTTTCCCCGTGCGAGAATTCCCACATCTGTGACAGACTAGTGCTCTAATTACTCCGTGAGTTTTCCCATACACGTGACAGACCGATGCCCTATTTGACCCTGCCTGAAAGTAAACATGATACTAACCTGTAAAGCAGAACAATAGGCCAGCTCCACGCCCACCGTGGCCTTAAAGAACCAGGCTCCCTCCTCACCCCCGGGCAACTTGTACAGGACCCGGATGTTGCTGTCAACGAAATTAATGTGTTATCACATTTACTGTAAACGTTCTATGTACGTTTTTCAATAGTGACCAGTGGCAGTCAGAAATCAGGGATTTTCAAGGTATTTATTATCTAGTGAAACATTTTTTATGTTTAATCAGTTTAGCAAATTCAATGCCCAGCATATTATAAACACGTAACTGTTCCTCTCTTTTACCCAGATCGTTTATTGTATATGTATAAAATTACTGCCCAATCAATTTATATGATCAAACTCTTAATATTCAATAGGACAAATCTGTCAAGCCACTCAACCTTTCTTTTTTAATGTACATAATAATATACTCTGTGTTCTTCACTTATTTTAATCAAAGACGACAGAACACAGAAGAAGTGATACAATATTTTTTTCTAAATTGCCTAATTGTCGAGCAAAACTTATATGGGTTCTTCATTCTTACAAACCCCACCCAAACTGTTTCGATATACTCTCAGATTAGCGTCGGAATTTTCTTTTCATAGTTTAGATATTTAATTTCAATCCTTAGAATTGCCCTAATTCCGCTAAAACCAAATACTGTACACAACATCGTTGTTGGTATACCCACTACTACCACTGATATCGTCCAAGGGCCCTCCGACACCCGACAGAACGTTGTTGTTATACTCTCTACTACCACTGATATCGCCCGAGGGCCCTCCGACATCCTACAGAACGTTATTGTCATACCCACTACTACCGCAGATATCGTCCAAGGGCCCCCCGACACCCGGCAGAACGGTGTTGTTATACAATCTACTACCCCCGATATCGTCCGAGGGCCATCCGACATCTGACAGGACGGTGTGGTTATACCCACTACTTCCACAGATATCGTCCAAGTGCCCTCCGACATCCGGCAGAACGTTGTTGTTATCCCCACTACTACCCCTGATATCGTCCAAGCGCCCTCCGACATCCGGCAGATCGGTGTTGTTATACCCTCTTCTAGCACAGATATCGTCCATGGGCCCTCCGACATCCAACAGAACGCTGCTGTTATACCCACTACTTCCCCAGATATCGTCCAAGTGCCCTCCGACATCCGACAGCACGTTGTTGTTATAGCCTCTACTACCACAGATACCGTCCGAGGGCTCTCCGACATCCAGACTGTACACAACATCGTTGTTGGTATACCCACTCCTACCACTGATATCGTACGAGGGCCCTCCGACACCCTACAGAACGTTGTTGTTATCCCCACTACTACCCCTGATATCGTCCAAGGGCCCGCCGACATCTGACAGAACGGTGTTGTTATACCCTCTTCTACCGCAGACAACGTCCGAGAGCCCTCCGACATCCGAAAGCACGTTGTTGTTATAACCTCTACTACCACAGATACCGTCCGAGGGCTCTCCGACATCCAGACTGTACACAACATCGTTGTTGGTATACCCACTCCTACCACTGATATCGTCCGAGGGCACTCCGACATCTGACAGGACGGTGTGGTTATACCCACTACTTCCCCAGATATCGTCCAAGGGCTCTCCGACATCCGACAGAGCGTTATTTTTATACCCTCTACTACCAGAGATATCGTCCGAGGGCCCTCCGACATCTGACAGAACGTTGTTGTTATACCCTCTTCTACCACAGATATCGTCCAAGGGCCCTCCGACATCCGACAGCACGTTGCTGTTATACCCTCTACTACCACAGATATCGTCCGAGGGCCCTCCGACACCCGACAGAACGTTGTTGTTATAACCTCTACTACCACAGACATCGTCCAAGGGCCCTCCGACATCCGACAGAACGTTGTTGTTATACCCTGTACTACCACAGATATCGTCCCAGGGCTCTCCGACATCCGATAGAACGTTGTTGTTATAACCTCTTCTACCACAGATATCGTCCATGGGCCCTCCGACATCCGACGGAACGTTATTGTTATACCCTCTCCTACCACAGATATCGTCCATGGGCCCTCCGACATCCGACGGAACGTTATTGTTATACCCTCTCCTACCACAGATATCGTCCAAGAGCCCTCCGCCATCCGCCAGCACGTTGTTGTTATAACCTCTACTACCACAGAGATCGTCCGAGGGCCCTCCGACATCTGACAGAACGCTATTGTTATACCCTCTACTACCAAAGATATCGTCCGAGGGCTCCCCGACATCCGACAGCACGTTATTGTTATACCCACTACTTCCCCAGATATCGTCCGAGGGCTCCCCGACATCCGACAGCACGTTGCTGTTATACCCTCTACTACCACGGATATCGTCCAAGTGCCCTCCGACATCCGGCAGAACGGTGTTGTTATACCCTCTACTTCCACAGACATCGTCCAAGGGCCATCCGACATCCGACAGAACGTTGCTGTTATAACCTCTACTACCACAGAGATCGACCAAGGGCCCTCCGACATCCGGCAGAACGTTGTGGTGTATTCATACTTACTCTAAGGTTGGAGGTCTGAAAAAGAACAACATCGAATTATTCATTAATTAGAATTACAAGAAATGTCTGTCTAATACAGTTTTTATGTCTTAACCATTGATTTCCTAAGCGTAGTGTAACCAGATTACAGTTTGACGTAACTCTGCAATGATTGTTTCTCTACCTACTGAGCACAATGGGAATTCCTACTAGGTAAGTCTTGAAGTCAGTAACGTTTACCAGGGAGACATACTAGGAAACTGGTCAACTAGCCTTCCGGGGTACAACTATACTGGTAAGAGCAATGATCAGAAAGTACCGTACGACTAACTGAGGCCCTTCATGTATCGACAGCCAACGAGTGACTAGATAGTTCACCGTGACGCAAAGTAAAGCATGGCATTGCAATATACATCAAATATATGTTGAATTGCGTCTGGTATCCATGATACCTTTGTTTATCGATGACCACCCAGTTAGCCAGGGCAACGTCACAGTGAGACAGGATGGGCTGGATTTCTAGGAGTCTGGACACACCACAGAACGGCACTGATAGACAACACGGAATGCTCTGTAACAATCACAATGCAAACGAGATATTGAATGATGAAGGTGTAGAGGTGAAACAAGACATCAGGTATACGAAGGATAGAATACCTCAGCCACCGTCCTGTTATGTGTACCTTAGGGACACCTCGGCACCGTCCTGTTATATGTACCTTTGGGACACCTTGGCACCGTCCTGTTATATGGACCTTTGCAACAACTTGGTCACCGTCCTGTTATACGTACCTAAGGGACACCTTGGTCACTGTCCTGTTATACGTGCCTTTGGAACACATTGGTTCACCGTCCTGCCATACATACCTTTGGAACACCTTGGTCACCGTCCTGCCATACGTAGCCGTTGACGAGGATGGAGAGCTGGAGATGAGCCAGTCGGAGCTGTCTGTGTCCAGTCAGGCGTGTATGGTCAAGAACAGTCATCTATGTATGTAAGTGTGACGATAGTTTTTAGTGAGCATATATTGTAATTCTAACGTATCGCTATTTACATATAAAATATTATGAATCGATCCCCTGAAATTTATGTAAAACTGAGATTGCCCCGTACAAACTGATCTTGCCAGGCACATTGAACAACCAACACTACCCCCGATCCCACTTCGAGTGTTACTATTATGATATCTTCTTGGCAAAGTAATTCTTACCAAACTGAAAAAGGTGTAACCCTGTTGAAATATATCTTTTTAATCATGATCAATTCGATTATTAAATGTGTACATGAGCTATGTTTTTGAATGTCAGAATATATTTCAACAACATCACCGCAATAGTATAAACTAAGTCCGTCAACGTCATGCTGGGGTCAGATTGATTTCATTGTGATCGATTATATAATATTGACATTTCTTTGTATTTTTTCATTATTGGTGATACTGTATAGTGAATAAATATGTTTTAAACAGTTTTTACCAGCGCAATACATTGTTTCTTTTGTGTATTGCTGTACATGTGAATCTGTATTTGACAAGTTATTGTCCATATCATAATCTCCGATAAGCGGAAGGAGTCATCAGCTGGGCACCTGCTACTAGTAGCTGACTTCGGAATTTACTATATTATTTAACCTACCAGTCATGTTCGTATTTCCAACCTTTCGAAACAATCGGCAAATATCAAAACCACTATACAAATCTACTAAATATTACGTGAGTTATTGTACAGGTGATGTGCGGATATCTAACGTTCCCGTCGCCATCTATAAAGATTATGTAACTGTGACTTTCACCTAAAACAACAGACGTTGATATTCGACAGGTATAGAGAGACTGATGTGAGGTATTATTGTGTGAAGTTTCGTGAAATTGAGAACTAAGAGTTAGTCATGAACGCCGAAAAAAGGTTAGGGGCGACTAGTGTTACAGATGTACGTACCTTGTTCACTTCCCGTCGTAGTCCATGAGTCTCGAGGAGAGGGATGTACACGGACGGACTGGACAGGTGATTCCAGGCCTGGAAATACTCCGGCAGCACCTCCTGATAACGGTATTTAACACGTAGTAATGTAAACCCGCTTAATTGATGGCATTTGAACAGGTGATGTATCCTCCATGACCATGGGTATACAAGTCTTTATAGTACTAAATGTTGGTAGACAGTTTCGGCTACACGATACATATATATTAGAAAAAAGCAATACCTACAGTGCGGACAAAGGACATTTTCGGGGCCATCTGCCCCTTTGTCAAGAGGGGGTGAGGCAGCTATTAGATTCGATCCCAAAATAACCATGAGGGTGTCATTTCGGGGCTTATTTATTGTTTTGTGTTCCCAATTGAATGTGAAATATTATTTGGTTATTGATAGCTTAGAGAGTAAAATAAACCAACACTTGCCAACGGAGTCATCTCTGGGCGTTCCTCTCTGACTTTAATCTTGGGAATTCGACTACTACTGGATAACCCCTTGTGTAGAACACAAGAGTTTATACTGTATACGAGTTACTTCCCTTGTATTGTATAATATAGTTAAAAACCTGCACTTTGCACTCGCATGGTCAGCTTGAAAGTATTGAAAGTTTGCGGTACATATTGTGTGAATCACAATGGAAAAGCGTTAAACGGATTCCTGGGCGCGCGAGACCCTCCCTCTGCACTCCTTCTACCCCTAGACTCTCACTAGAGTGGCGTAAATTTGTATTCTACAATGTACTGACCTATGGTCATATTATGTAAATGAAATGAATTCTTCGCCCGTGTTATGCCTGTATACATATATACAGCCATGGAGTTATATAAATCTTCTTATACGTTTACGTATACAAATAACAGACGATCACATTCGTGACCTGTGCAGACAACGGATTGATGTCATTATATTACCAGTGCGTCTTCGAGCAGGAAGCCTAAATCTGGAGATATGTGGTAACCCGACAGGTGGAGGAGTGGCGGACGAGTGGAGTCCATGGTGTCACACTCTATCTTCATATGTAGCACATGTGTAGGCAGGTTGTAGGTCAGCAGGGGAAGTAACTCATTGTGGGCGTCATCGAGTTTGTAACACTGATTTTTGTCGATCTATTCAAATATGATTTTCACAAACCAGAAAGTCGTTAAATATATATCTACCGAACGAACAGTAAGTTGCAGTAAGTTGCTCTTTGAACAAGAAAATATTACAGCAGATTTGTTTTTAGATTGCTATGATAAGATTATTTAGAATAAATATTGATAAATAATAAAAATAATTATATCTACATATTTCAAATATTTTTGTGTTGTGTTTTGTGTTTCCTATTTAGTAAAATAAGAAATGGATATTTTGATGCTTTTTTATGCTAAAAAAGGTATGTATTATCTGTCTAACCTACCGCATTTGTAGTGTAGTGCGTTTTCTAGTTCTGTTTTCCGGTAAGATGGGTTTGTTTTGATAAAAAGCAGACAAGAGTTTTCAGATTTATTAGCAAAGTTTATTTACAGGGTATGCCGCAAGTAACACAAACATTGCAATATCTTATGAATGGCCTCGACACCGCTTACATTACTGCCCTAGGTGAAGCCTGTTGTTGCTGTACATAGCCCGACAGCGTCCACTATACCGATTGTTGCTGTCAATAGCCCGACAGCGTCCACTAGGCCTATTGTTGGTGCACATAGCCCGACAGCGTCCACTAGGCCTATTGTTGCTGTCCATAGCCCGGCAGCGTCCACTAGGCCTATTGTTGGTGTACATAGCCCGACAGCGTCCGCTAGGCCTATTGTTGCTGCACATAGCTCGACAGCGTCCACTAGGCCTATTGTTTCTGTACATAGCCCGACAGCGTCCATTTGGCCTATTGTTGCTGTACATAGCCCGACAGCGCCCACTATACCGATTGTTGCTGTACATAGCCCGACAGCGTCCACTAGGCCTAATGCTGTTGTACGTAGCCCGACAGCGTCCACTAGGCCTATTGTTGCTGTACATAGCCCGACAGCGTCAACTAGGCCTATTGTTGCTGTACATAGCCCGACAGCGCCCACTATACCGATTGTTGCTGTACATAGCCCGACAGCGTCCGCTAGGCCTAATGCTTCTGTACGTAGCTCGACAGCGTCCACTAGGCCTATTGTTTCTGTACATAGCCCGACAGCGTCCATTTGGCCTATTGTTGCTGTACATAGCCCGACAGCGCCCACTATACCGATTGTTGCTGTACATAGCCCGACAGCGTCCACTAGGCCTAATGCTGTTGTACGTAGCCCGACAGCGTCCACTAGGCCTATTGTTGCTGTACATAGCCCGACAGCGTCAACTAGGCCTATTGTTGCTGTACATAGCCCGACAGCGCCCACTATACCGATTGTTGCTGTACATAGCCCGACAGCGTCCGCTAGGCCTAATGCTTCTGTACGTAGCCCGACAGCGTTCACTAGGACGATTGTTGCTGTACATAGCCCGACAGCGTCCACTAGGCCTAATGCTGCTGTACGTAGCCCGACAGCGTCCACTAGGCCTATTGTTGGTGTACATAGCCCGACAGCGTCCACTATGCCGATTGTTGCTGTCAATAGCCCGACAGCGTCCGCTAGGCCTATTGTTGGTGTACATAGCCCGACAGCGTCCACTATACCGATTGTTGCTGTACATAGCCCGACAGCGTCCACTAGTCCTATTGTTGCTGTACATAGCCCGACAGCGTCCACTATGCCGATTGTTGCTGTACATAGCCCGACAGCGTCCACTAGTCCTATTGTTGCTGTACATAGCCCGACAGCGTCCACTAGTCCTATTGTTGCTGTACATAGCCCGACAGCGTCCACTAGGCCTATTGGTGCTGTACATAGCCCGACAGCGTCCACTATACCGATTGTTGCTGTACAAAGCCCAACAGCGTCCACTAGGCCTATTGTTGCTGTACATAGCCCGAAAGTGCCCACTATTCCTATTGTTGCTGTACATGCGAGACAGCGGAAACTAGGCCTATTGATGCTGCACATAGCCCGACAGCGTCCACTAGGCCTATTGTTGCTGTACATGCCAGACAGCGGAAACTAGGCCTATTGATGCTGTACATAGCCCGACAGCGTCCAGTAGGCCTATTGTTGCTGTACATAGCCCGACAGCGTCAACTAGACCTATTGTTGCTGTACATAGCCCGACAGCGTCCGCTAGGCCTATTGTTGCTGCAGATAGCTCGACAGCATCCACTAGGCCTATTGTTGCTGTATATAGCCCGACAGCGTCCATTAGGCCAATTGTTTCTGTACATAGCCAGACAGCGTCAACTAGGCCTATTGTTGCTGTACATTGCCCGACAGGTCCACTAGGCCTATTGTTGCTGTACATAGCCCGACAGCGTCCACTAGGCCGAGTGTTGCTGTACATAGCCCGACAGCGTCCGTTAGGCCTATTGCTGCTGTACATAGCCCGACAGCGTCCATTAGGACGATTATTGCTGTACATAGCCCGACAGCGTCCACTAGACCTATTGTTGCTGTACATAGCCCGACAGCATCCACTAGGCTTATTGTTGCTGTACATAGCCCGACAGCGTCCATTAGGACGATTATTGCTGTACATAGCCCGACAGCGTCCATTAGGACGATTATTGCTGTACATAGCCCGACAGCGTCCACTTGGCCGATTGGTGACCTTCATAATATTTTTTTACAAAATTTGATTAAAGCACCATATCTACATGTACATGCATATTGTACAGCTGTATCTAGAATTAGCCACTTTTTAGGCGCTTTGCAATACATTGATATACAATGTATATACATTTCTATAAATCTAAATCTGAGTAATACCTGAATATCGGGAGAGCTGAGAATACTGTATACATTTAATCTATTGGAGTGTCTTTTACCTATAACATAAAATAACAGAAACAAACTTTGTAGTTCTTATTATCGTCCCACCTCGATGATTTTTTTTATGTGTGAATTTCGTCTTTAAGACAGGGACCAGCTTGTTAAAGCTAAGGACATGTCGCTGTGTATCCATTGGAGTTGACTGGGTATTTAGTATGTCACGAGTGTGAAAATATATGTCATAGGAGTGAAATATATGTGGTATTCATCGAAAACAAACTTACATTTTAAACTATCTACAACGACAAAGCTATTGTTGAATATAAACAATTTCTGATTTAATAGCTTAATCTTTGTCGCAGTGTTCGAATGGCGTCCGCTTACAAAACAAAGCTGCGCGCCATTTTAAATTGTCTTCTCAGAACAATTCTACTATTTCCTGCCATTGTTTGTTATAATTTGCCAACCTATATATGGAGTCAATTGTGTAGGTTAACAAAATAACTTAGAGTCTGCAGCATAAATATGCCAAGTTAACCGCTTATTCTATGGTTGCTTCATTTGTATCTGAACTGAAAATCTATGGGCATTGATGAAGTTAATAGTAAGTACTGTCCTGATTGGTCAATGGCGGTCGACTCAGAAATGCCTCGTCTTACCACCACATTCATTTATGTATTGTCAATAAAAATCAGTTGAAATTCATTGATTAGGAGGAACAGGTTACGCTCAGTCATTCATCGTACCATACACAATTGATGTTATCTTACCTCTATCAGGACACAACTGTCAAATCAAATTACATTTATGATAATACATTTGTTTACAATTCTAAATCATATCCGATCTGTTTATATAAATGAGTCTGGAATTTCTTTCAGATTGTATCACAAAGGTGTATCTTGGAGGTATGTTCATGGACTCGGCGTACACATTGACGGGGGTATTCCTTTGCCATTCTACACATGTTCATTATTAGTTGTCTCGTCCCTCGCACTTTTGAGATAGGAAACCAGTTCTGAAATGTTGAAGATATCGACAGTATCAACGATTTGATCAAGGTTAGACATTTTGTAAAATTTTCTTAATGTAAAAACTTTAATAATGTGACTATGTACGGATAGCAATAAACAGACACACGGATACACGTTTTGACTAAAAACCATACAAACGTATAATACAAATTCAGCAGTAAAAAAAGGAACACAAACAAATTGTTATTGAGAGAAGGAAACCCCGTCAAGGTAACAATCGAATTTGTAAAGTGTATTGTAATATCAAAACCAGTTCTGTCAGACGGAGAAAAAAATATATGTGGTATAGCATGACATGGAATCAGCACATGAGTACGTGCTGTAGGATCACCATGTGACAATGAACGTGTACAGTGTGACATGAGATAAGATCACCATGTGACAATGAACGGGCACCATGTGACTTGAGATAAGATCATCATATAACAATGAACGTGTACCGTGTGACTTGAGATAAGATCACCATATGACAATGAACGTGTACCGTGTGACATGATATAAGATCAACATGTGACAATGAACGTGTACCGTGTGACATGAGATAAGATCACCATGTAACAATGAACGTGTACCATGTGACTTGAGATAAGATCACCATGTAACAATGAACGTGTACTGTGTGACTTGAGATAAGATCAACATGTTACAATGAACGTGTACCGTGTGATAAGATCACCATGTGAACATGAACGTGTACCGTGTGATAAGATCACCATGTGAACATGAACGTGTACCGTGTGATAAGATCACCATGTGAAAATGAACGTGTACCGTGTGATAAGATCACCATGTGAAAATGAACGTGTACCGTATGACTTGAGATAAGATCACCACGTGACAATGAACGTGTACCTTGACACTTGATATAAGATCAGCATGTGACAATGAACGGGTACCGTGTGATTTGAGATAAGATCACCATGTAACAATGAACTTGTACCGTGTGACTTGAGATAAGATCACCATGTGACAATGAACAGGTACCGTGTGACTTGAGATAAGATTAACATGTGACAATGAACGTGTACCGTGTGACTTGAGATAAGATCACCATGTGACAATGAACGTGTACCGTGTGATAAGATCACTATGAGAAAATGAACGTGTACCGTGTGACCTGAGATAAGATCAACATGTGACAATGAACGTGTACCGTGTGACCTGAGATAAGATCACCATGTGACAATGAACGTGTACCATGTGACCTGAGATAAGATCACCATGTGACAATGAACGTGTGCCATGTAACATGAGATAAGATCAACATGTGAAAATGAACGTGCACCGTGTGACATCAGATAAGATCAACATGTGACAATGAACGTGTACCGTGTGACATGAGATAAGATCAAGATGTGACAATGAATATGTACCGTGTGACATGAGATAAGATCACCATGTGACAATGAACGTGTACCGTGTGACTTGAGATAAGATCACAATATGACAATGAACGTGTACCGTGTGAATTGAGATAAGATCACCATGTGACAATGAACGTGTACCGTGTCACTTGAGATACGATCAACATGTGACAATAAACTTGTACCGTGTGACATGAGATAAGATCACCATGTGACAATGAACGTGTACCGTGTGACTTGAGATAAGATCACCATGTGACAAGAACGTGTACCGTGTGACTTGAGATAAGATTAACATATAACAATAAACGTGTACCGTGTGACTTGAGATAAGATCACCATGTGATAATGAACGTGTACCGTATGATTTGAGATAAGATCACCATGTGACAATGAACGTGTACCTTGTGACTTGATATAAGATCAGCATGTGACAATGAACGGGTACCGTGTGGTTTGAGATAAGATCACCATGTGATAATGAACGTGTACCGTATGATTTGAGATAAGATCACCATGTAACAATGAACGTGTACTGTGCGACTTGAGATAAGATCACCATGTGACAATGAACGTGTACCGTGTGACTTGAGACAAGTTTGTGAAAATTGACTTATATCGTGTGACTTGAAACCGACATGTGACAATGAATTATAACGCTTGACTTGTTGCGTTCTGCATGAGACAATGAAACTATACCATGCGACTTGAGTTTGGTTGATAACAATAACTTGGAACCTTGTGACTAAAGTTTGGTATGTGGCAATACAATGGTTCCGTGTGGCGTTAGGTCAAAGCTTGGTATGTGGCAATACAAGGGTTCCGCGTGGCGTTATGTCAAAGCTTGGTATGTGGCAATACAAGGGTTCCGCGTGGCGTTCTAAAGCTTGGTATGTGGCAATACAAGGGTTCCGTGTGGCGTTCTAAAGCTTGGTATGTGGCAATACAATGGTTCCGCGTGGCGTTATGTCAAAGTTTGGTATGTGGCAATACAAGGGTTCCGTGTGGCGTTCTAAAGCTTGGTATGTGGCAATACAATGGTTCCGTGTGGCGTTATGTCAAAGTTTGTTATGTGGCAATACAATGGTTCCGTGTGGCGTTATGTCAAAGTTTGGTATGTGGCAATACAAGGGTTCCGTGTGGCGTTATGTCAAAGTTTGGTATGTGGCAATACAAGGGTTCCGTGTGGCGTTATGTCAAAGTTTGAAGAAAAGAACTTACTGTCATTGCCGGGATCATTCTTGCTGACCATCACCACGTACCTGTAGTATAAAGACATTGATTAACTTACTCAGGAATTAGAACAACAGATTTGATGTGATCAGCATATTGGAATTACATATCAATAAGATAACATATAACGACTGACCTAAACCTAACAGTTTTCATCCTGTTTATACCAAAAACACATCTTTATGACGTCACAATTGCATGTCATCACACTACAACAGTAATGAGACGTCACCGTGTTCACATGATTTTTGGACAAACTACTGTAAACATTAAAGGTGGTTTTGAGATCAGGTTTGAATATTCAAGTAGAATAGCGGCGGATAAATATAATTGATATAAAGGTAATACATAATATATTTTACCGCCGTTTTTATAAATTTGTGTGTTGCCATGTAAATGTCATAACGAGTCGGCTTTAGTTTGGTATATTTCTATATTCATGTGAACATATTAACGCCGGTCACTAATAATAAATATGTATGCGAGGACATCAATCGTGTCTTTATGTCGCATAGTTATAAATTGACTTTAATTTCATCATGCTATGACTATTATACATCTCATTGCTTGAAATAACATATAACTAGAATGGCGACGAACAAGATATTTTTTCTATAGAACGAACAAGGTGGTGTCCTTAATTAATACATTTACAAAGGACAACAGTCATGCGACACTAGCGAAACGAGGACAATATCTGAGGCGGATGAATAAGTAGTGGCTACGAGATAACCGTCGAGGTCGTGGTCAGGATACTTTGATTGTAAAAGTTAGTATACTATCTCTGTTACAAGTGAAGAATAACCCCTGATCAGTTGAAACACAAAACAATGGTATATTTCACATCAGAATAATACCATCTACGATGTAACAATGTGGTACACTTGTAAGTTGTGATATATTACATGTACTTCCCTATAATTCTTCACTGAAATAAAGGATTGCTGACTAAACTGAATTCGAAACATTTAATGATTTCCCTATCGAAAATATACCAGGCTCTTCACGTACGTTAGTCAGTTTCAGACTCAAACCTACTACGTCAATCATGTTTAGAATATCTTAGTCCCTGATTGTACCACGTCATTTAGTTTATGACTAGCACCTACCACACCAATCACGCTTAGACAAAGTCCCTGATTGTACCACGTCATTTAGTTTAGGACAAGGCTCTACCATGCCAATCATGTTTAGACAAGGTCTGTGATTGTACCACGTCATTTAGTTTAGGACTAGCCTCTACCACGTCAATCAAGTTTGAACAAATTCCTTGATTGTACCACGTCATTAAGTTTAGGACTAGCCTCTAAACGTCGATCAAGTTTAAACAAAGGCCTTGATTGTACCACGTCATTAAGTTTAGGACTAGCCTCTCAACGTCGATCAAGTTTAAACAAAGTCCTTGCTTGTACCACGTCATTTAGTTTTTGACAAGGCTCTACCTAGCCAATCATGTTAAGACAAAGTCCCTGATTGTACCATGTCTTTAAGTTTATGACAAGGCTCTACCTAGCTGCCATTCAAGTTTGAACAAAGTCCTTGATTGTACCACGTCATTTAGTATAGGACTAGCCTCTAAACGTCGATCAAGTTTAAACAAAGGCCTTGATTGTACCACGTCATTAAGTTTAGGACTAGCCTCTAAACGTCGATCAAGTTTAAACAAAGTCCTTGATTGTATCACGTCATTTAGTATAGGACTAGCCTCTAAACGTCGATCAAGTTTAAACAAAGTCCTTGATTGTACCACGTCATTTAGTTTAGTACTAGCCTCTACCACGTCGATCACGCTTAGACAAAGTCATACAGTTTGGCAGTACAACATTACACAGTATTATACACGTACATTACGAAAAGTAGTCTAACATATACATACACTTTTTCTTACTTCAAATTATAATGATAGACATAATATTGTAATTCAGTTAGATGTAACAACACACATCATAACAGTACAACATATTACTATCAAAGGAGTCTGAAGTTGGATCCTAGTTCCGTTAATAAGATAAACGGAACTGGGAACCAGACCCTAGGAAATAGGAACAAACTTTATGCTCTCTTCTATCAAATACATTATAATATAGCACATCACAAGTTAATTTCACACATCGTAACCTACTGTTGTATATAATGTTTATAATATACTATAATATACTATAATATACTATAAAAGAATGACCTACACTTTAAGTACTGATAGCACAGTATAATACAGTTGGTTGCATTAACATACAATGACTTTCATTATAATATTTTAGCATTTTTAATGAGTTACATAACGATCTAACATATTAATGATCGATGTCACACCATAAATAAGAAACACAGCGTATTACATTGAAGCACAGTGTAATCTAGCACTGAAGTATAATTTACATGTATGTTGTTTACTCAAGTAATAATAGAAAATACAATGATATATTGGAAACTATGGCAGTAGTTTCATACGAACATTATAGTCTGTAACATACCCCAGTATATAGCGTCATTTCGTTGTTTGTCGCTTAATTAAGAAATTTCCATAATTTACTCAATTCGGTTACATTTCATACACTTGATAGTTGTATCAGTTTGAACACACTTGGTCGTCTATAATGATATGGCTTTATATATGTACTTCGAAGATTGTTATAAAAGTAAGTTACATTTGAGAACAAAATGAAATTCATCCTGTTTATCGTTTGTTTGAAATAATGCACAGGTTCTTTGCTCTTTCTCTCTCTCTCTGCTGGTTTCTATACCTGCTTTGTTCTATGCTAAGATTATGTGAGCTTAACCTAAATCTGGCTATGTGTTTTTGTACAGATCATCTATAGGCTTACACAAGTAGAATTGTAAAAATAATATCAATAATAGGCTGATATATTTTTCCTCTAGAGATATTTCGAATGTCAGATAAAAGCTCCTGTTGATAAACATCGTAAACTCTTTGTTTAATCACACTGAACGCCATTTTCTCATTCTATATTCCAAAGATAGTTCAATCCTTTAATATCCAGCTATCATAAGATGCTACCCTTTTGTCAAAAATTGTTTGTAGTCTTCAGGTTTAACCAATATCTTAGAATACCTTTTGAGCCTCCTACAGGTCCAACGTGGTAGCCGTTCTAGCTCACATTATACTACACTATTACATGTCCTAGCTCACATTATACTACACTATTACATGTCCTAGCTCAC